ATATATATATATATATATATATATATATATATATATATATATATATATATATATATATATATATATATATATATATATATATATATAAAATCCAAAGTTAGACCTACTTTCTAAAAAAGAAAAAGAAATGATGGAGGTAGAAAGTCATTTTAAAAATTTAAATGAAAATTTCAAAAAAAATACATATGAAAATTCATCAAAAATAATTTTAACTTTCATTTGTTGCGCAAAACAGACTATCTCCGCTAACATGGCGTTAGTAACTAAACGGCGATCCAAAATTCGTAAATTTTAGTGATATTGGAATATTTATGCATCATAGTGAATGGTCGTATTATTTTTGAAAAATCGTGTAAATTTTAGATTATTCTGGATAATTGTTCCAACATTTATTTGTTTAAATTTATATTTATTGATGGGGAAAGCATGTTCTCAATTGACAAAAAGAAGTTAAATCATATGGCATGATTTTAAATGATAAGAAATAGTTTTGAATATAATTACAATCAGATCAAATCATAACTCAGTTTAGAATCAATTCGACTCAGTTCGCAATCAATTGGATAATGCAGCATTTCGTTCAACTTACTTTTTCTGCTTATTACTTATTTTTATTAAAATCAGATCAGATCCAATCAAATCTAATCAGATCACATATAATTAGATCAGATCAGACCAGATCTAAACAAAACTAATATTATTATTTTTATTTTTATTATTACTCTTATTATTATTACCATTATTATTAGCATTATTACTATTACTAAGCTATTACTATTACTATTAATATTATGATTATAATTATTATTACTATTGTTATCATTATTACTATTATTATTATTATTACTATATATTAATATGAGTAATATTATTATTGTTACTATTGTTATGATTACTATTATTATTATTATTAGTAATGTTATTATTACTACTACTATTACTATATTTATTATTATTACTATTATTAAAATTACTATTATTATTACTATTATTATTATTATTACTATTATTATTATTATTATTATTATTATTACTATTACTATTATTATTAATATGACTATAATTATTATTTATATTTTTATGATAATTATTACTACTATTATTATTACTACTACTATTATAATGATTATTATGATTATTATTGTTATCATCATCATTGTTACTAATATTATTATTACTATTACTATTTTTATTATTATTATTTCTATTATATTATTATTATTTCTAATATTATTATTTATTTTATTATAAATATTTATATTATTATTATTTCTATTATTACTAGTATTATTATAGTTATTATTATTACTATTATTATTATTAAATCTATTATTATTATTATAACCATTAACATAAAGATCTAAGTTTCAATTTTAATCAAATTCATATCAGATCCAATCATATCAGATCCAATCATATCCTATCAGATTAGAACTTCAAAAAATTAGTTTAGATCAGATCAGGCAAACGGAACGCAACCTAAGTCGAACAAAACAAGCACTCAATTGGAGGAAACACGGTTTCTAACTGTTTGAAGAAAATGATATTTCATCATATTTGGAAAATAGTGTCTATACAACCAATTATTTACGGCTGGAGAAAATGATATCTCATCATATTTGGAAAATAGTTTCTCTACACCAATTACTTACAGCCGGAGCATATCAATTCAATATATTTCCGTTCACACATATGCAATAATTTCTTCGTCTCATACCTTTTTAGAGATGAAAAAGGACATCTCTTTAAAATAGGTAACTTTGGTATTATTTTTCAATTATATCTCATATGTCCTATACACAATATCTTACTTATTACTCTCTCCGTCCCTGAATATTTGTCCAGTTTTGACTTTTTTCAGTCAACTATTTTTTAACATTTGACATATAATTAAATAAAATATATATTATATATTAATTAGATAAAATAGTATTTTTAAAATATTTGATATAATAAATCTAATAAAAGTATTTTTATTTAATTTGAGGTCATAATTTCCAATTTTCACCGAATAAAGTCAAAAATGAACAAATACTCAGGGATGGAGGTAATATTAAGTAATGGCAATGTTTGAAATTAATATCAAAATTACACATTTTTGGAACATACTTTTTTTCATTTTAAAACAAATTATGAAACAGAAGAAGTACAAGTATAATTTATATAGTATATAGTTTTTGAAGGGACCATGCTACACTTACACCAAAAATCGTACCTCATTTGTACCTCGCAGTTACTCACAAACATTTTGATGAGTTACACCGATACAAGTGTTGGTGTGTTAACAAAAATTTACACGGACACAAAGTATTGGTGCATTAATAAAAATTAGTTTTACACCAACACAAAATATTGGTGCAAACCTGCGAAGTATAAAGTAGCGTACAAAAATCTGGAGTACAAATAGCTTTATCTTTTTTGAAGAGTTCGTCAATAAATCAATCTATAGCATAGTTTTGAGAACCGGACCTGTGACCGAACCGGTCAAGGTATTGGTTCACTGGTCGAACCAGTGGTTTAACTGGTCGAACCGGTGGTTTAAACATATTTAAAAATTATATAAATATAAATATACACACACACACATTCTCATATATAAATACATAAAGAAAGTAATTTATAATATTTGACTAAAATTATACTCGTATTAATATACTTGAGTTATTTTACTAAATTAAAAGAAAAAATTTACATATTAAAAAATAGTATTAAAATTTTATTTAAAAAAATATCAATGATTTTGTGTTTAACTCATAGCTATATAACTACTACGCATTATATTTTTAAAATTGAAAAGGGATTTTTATGCAATCTTTTTATTAATTATGAAATATTATAAAAAAGTATACAAATTTTAAACAACAAGCACTGCTAGTTGGGTGGTTAGGAACTCAACCAAATAGCAAGTCTTGGGTTCGAACCCCCATGGAGTGAAGTTTTGGAAAAATTGCAAAAAAACAAAAAAAAACTGGTCTGACCGGTCCAACTGACCGGTTTTTTTGGAAAAATTGAAAAAAAAAAGGTCTGACCGGTCCGACCGGCCGGTTCTTACCGGTTCAAGCCGGTTCGAAGCTCATTACGGTCCATTGGGCCGGACCGGTTGGACCACTGGTTCGCCGGTTCACGGTCCGAACCGCCCAGTCCGGTTTTTTAAATTATGATCTATAGCTCTAACTTTCTGGTTGAAGGTAAAGAAGGAAACTTTTTACTGAAAATGATCTCAAGAACCAATGGGTCCCCTGAAAAACTGAAAGAAGACAAATCGCAGCATCCAGCTCCCCCCTTATAGTTCACTGTTTTCTTGTATATCAGTATATGATTTCCCAATCACTACACATTTGGGAAGTGCATTCCCAAATGGTGAAGGTGGGGTCTGACATTGCGCAGAGGGTCAAATTTTAGTATTAACGGGACTGCTAGTACCATAATTTTTTTTTAGATTAACGGTAGAGTCAGTACCGTTAATATATAAGTTATTTATAAATACAAAATTAAGTACATCCCTTTGTTAGATATTGACATTAAATTTGAACAATAATAAAATTTTTATTCATTTGATGCACTACTACTGAACTTAAAAGCATACAAATAAAAGTTGTCGTACATATATAAAAATCTCACATTGAAATGTATAATTTAACTAAGTTTCCCGACGATGTCTTCGTGATCGCATATCCATATTATTTGTGAAACGAGTGCTCACTGGACGACTGGCCTGCGACCTTTGCCCTGTAAATGGACGGACTAATTCATAACCAAGGGTAGGCCATTCAATTTCGTTTTTTAGTGTCATAACACTTCCAGAATATGCATCAAGGTAATTCTGAAGTGAAAACACTCGTGGGATGAGATCATCAACCGCAATGTTGCAATAACGACATACGGCGTAGACATGCACATATGACATGTGCAATATGGCCCATTTCCCGCAACTGTACAAATTTTGGCCCAGATGCACGACAATCTCATCTAGTCTACCGGTAGCTCCAGCGTTGCCCTCAACAACGACCCGATAAATCCCTTTGCGGATGATGTGGGATAACATGGCAATGTAAACGATGGTCTTCCATGCGTCTCACCTCGTTCCAAATATATTTTGGGAACATAAATCCCGCTTGTAGCCATGTAAATCCGTTTGTACGCCTTTCTGAAAATAATTTTACTAATCGCTCGTACGTCGTCTTCACAATGGCGTATACCGGAAGAGACCGGCATCCCTTAAAATAGTCAATAACACTACTACGATTCAGATAATAGAATGGAAATAATAGAATGGATAGACTATACCTCTCTCTCTTGTAGCCTGTCTAACTGGTCCCTATACAGTTGAATGGTATGAGACGGTGACACTGTCCAACGATGATAACAAACCCACATGTGAAGAAACACATAAAAAATTAAGTACTAAATTAATTGAATAATTGTAAAAAACAATTCATACGTAAAATTACCTCGCCCCATTAGGTGCATCTCTCCCATACTCGGGTGGATGTACGCCCTGCGGTCTACACATCGGGATGCGCTCCCACGCCCAAATCTGTAATAGAATGAGAGACCCCCTGATATGTGCCGTATCTGATAGCGCTGCACGACACAAATTACTGTAAAGGCAAGCCAATGCCGCGGAGCCTATAGCGCGACTTCGGACTTCTTGCGTCATGCCAACGAGCAACTCCAAAAGGCACAAGTTCACTTTGTTACCCGTCGTGCTAGCAAACAGAGCACCACCCATAATCTTCAACATCAATGCTCGAACATGCTGCCGAAAGTTGACCTCCGGGCTATGATCACCAATATGAATGAGTACGATCGCATTCATTTTGATTTGTGTCTTGGTCACGTCCTCTAAAGATGGCCTAAACCCCCCAACATATCTGAACACAATTGGGCCCAATATTCTTTGGTGTTGCCACGCAAACCAGCAACCGGGGTGCCATCTACGGGAAGACCAAGTAGGACCTCTACAGCCTCTAATGTGATCCCAACCTCTCCAAACGGAAGATGAAAGGCGTGTGTCTCCGGCCTCCACCTCTCCACTAAGGCGGTAATCAAAGCCCAATCTATTTGTAACTTAGATATTCTTTCAACTCCGTAAAATCCATATTCACGCAATATATCCACAACTCGTGGATGACGCTCAACACGAAATCCTTCCCTCAAGCTACCAAAAAATTTCACACATTTCACCGGTACGTCGCCAAACTCACGGTCTTGCCACACCCTATCACAACGATGTTCGCCGGGTCCCAACACTAGTACATCGGGAACAATTGGTCCCGGATGGACCTCCGTTCTTTGAAAATTCATTATTCTACAAAATTAGTATTTTTATTTTATGAATACGAGAAATCAAAAGTATGTAGTGCATTATAAAAAATTCCACAAATATATCACACAAAAGATTCGGATATCTCATAAACATAAAAATTTTCAAAATTATCAACATAGATCTAATCTAAATTATCAATTTTCTAAATTATCAACATTTCAATTTTTTATATTCTCATCCTAAATCTAATCACAAGCATATCTCATAAAAATTTCAATCACAAAATATAACTTTAAATTAGAAATTTTGGAAATAGATTTAAAGAAAACGGTACCGTTTGTACCGTTAAGCTGTGCGACGGCGACGGCTAGGGTTGGACGGCGACGGCGAGGGCTGGACGGCGTGCGGCGGCGATGTCTCGGTGCTTGGGGACGGCGGCGAGGTGGAAGAGGAAGGGTGCCGCTGCTTCTTCTAAAATGGGAGGGAGTGGTTGGGTTTGGATAGAATATGAATGGCCAGGTTTTTTTTCAAGACATTACGGTACAAGCAGTACCGTTATAGCCTTTTTAATAAAACCAAAATTAAATTTTTTTACTTTAACGGTAGTGGGTGTGCCGTTAAGCTCTTTTTTTCCTCTGACTGCACTGATCGGGCATGCTTTTTTCCTTTCTTCACTGAACGGGAATTTATTCCAGTATATGGAGTCTTTCATTTCATTCAGATCTTGATACCCCCCCTCCTCAGTCAGAATGCAATCCCAACTCTTGATATTTAAGTGGATAAAACTCTCATATTCTCTCTGTCTTAATTTAAATCGTTTGATTTCTTTTACGATATTTGGCTAAAATTATTTTCAAATTATTTTATATAAAATACGGTGTAAAATTTAAAAAAAAATCATAGTTAAAAATTACATCAAAAGGTTTACAAAACTAGTAGGGACATGATTACATTATTTTATCAAATGACGGACAAAAATAGAGAAAAAAAATGAATGAAGTTTGAGCTTGTAGATAATAGACATATAATTAATTTGGGACAGAAGGAATACTATTTTAAATAATCAACTCAACCAAATATTTAAATTTTATAATCAAAAGTCTAGTCATTACATACAAAGTTAGTCAAGTGTAATAAGATTGGGGAATGAAAAAAACACTAAAGTATAAGTAGAAAAAGTATCAAAATAGAAATTTCATATTTTTATTTGAATTTTTTGCACTATATACCTATAATCACTTTATAAAGTGCATGTTTTGCCCTTGAACGTAAATAATTTGCCAACTAAAATAAACCTTTTACCATGCTAATAATGTCAACATATAATACCAAAAAACATTACGAAATGACAAAAAATAATGCAGCAATGTCGTAGCGTAAACTGTTATTTTGGAAATAAAAATATGAAATCTCTATTTTGAGGATAAGAGATCTATTTTACTCCTATTTGAGAAAAGAAAAATTTTGTATAAAAAAGAATGATTTTGTTTATAAAAAAAAGCAATGATTTCATACTTAAAAGGAACACAAACACAAACAATACTCCCTCCGTCCTAAAAGTAACATTTTTCATTTGACGTTTCACGTTCTGCAATTTAACACTTTGACCATTAGTATGTGTGTGTGCGCGTTTGTGTGTGTGTAATAAAAATACTTCAAAACTATGTTTCAAAATAAATCCATTGATATTAAATTTATATGAAAACTCAATATATTTTTTCTGTAATGTGCGGTCAATGTTTAAAAAATTTGACCACGAAACTCAAATTAGGAATTTAATTTTAAGACAGGAGTAGAAGATAACGGGTTCAAATTTAAAAATAATAAAAAAATTTAATTCATAAATATCAAACTATTAATAGCTCCAAAACATAATGCACATAGCAGTAATAAATCTAATTAAAACAATAATAATGAAAGAATATTTTAAAAAATAATACAAGTACGAAGTACTCCATAGTCCATATATGGTAAGATTAAATAGACAAATCAGTATTTGACATACTCCAAAGATAATTTTGAACGATTCGATCCGTAATAATCAATTTAAAGTTATTGTATCACGATCCTGTCCTGTTTGATATCGGTTAAGAGTGTAAAATATCAATTTCGCCTAAAAAGACTATAAGCGATTTGGTATGTCCGGTGCAATATAATGTTAGTTCCGATTTTTGTCCACTTGTAGTTGGAGCATTTGAATAATGATTTAAACCAATGTCGGGCCATGAGTTAGGTGCTTTTGTTGGGTTTATATATGGCCGAGCATTTTTTTAGTCATTAGCTTATTGGGCCTTTTTCGCTTTGCCGTTTTATTTTCTGGTCAGTAATTGCAACTTGAGTTGTTAAATCTAATATATCCCCAACTTTTCAAAAAAAAATATATTAGGGAGTACTTGGTTGGTTTCATAAAATAAAAACAAATAAATTTCATATACTTTTAAAAAGTGTTGAAAAATAAAACACAGAAAATTAAAATTTTTGTAAATAAAAAAAATCTATGAGCCACATGTTCAATTCCTTGATATGAAGTAACATATGAAGTGGAGTACTGCGTACTTTTTAGATATCCAAATAAACTTGGGTATGCAATTGGAAGGGTGGGGGTGAGTTCGGAGCTGGGTGGGGGTTTAACGGGATTAGAGGGGTAGGAACCGTCAATTTTACGAGCAGGCAACACTGGGCTCCTACATAATCCCAGCAATGTCATGAAAACCGAAGTGAAGAGGGGAGCACTAATGCACTATAGAGCTCTTGGGTCATCCCATGGAAACCGAGGTGACGAGGAAAAATAGAAAGTTTTTCATCCACTAAATATTCTCCTATTTTTCAAATAAACCCCCTACACTGTAATTTATATCACAATAATAACATTTCAAATAGCAACAATTACAAACAAAAGGCCTCTTACTCTTGATTATATATTCTTTTTAGGGGGGATTTGTAGCTTCTTTAAGATCATCAAGCAAACACCCCAAAAAAACCAACAATATACAATTAATTCTAATCCTCCAAAACCTGGAATTTGATGACAGGATAAGAGCCTCTTCCAGGCCTTTGAGAGCTGCATTTGAACTTCTTTCTTCTCCACGTGTTCCAGCCAGTCTTCAATTCTGCGATTCGTTTCATTCACTTCTTCGCATTTTAACATTTAATGGGACTTCTTTGTATGAGTTGACCTTCATGGCTGCTTGTCTGGAGGGTCTGGTTACATTTGATGGTCTCCTCAATTCCTTCGCTTCGATTTGGGTACTTTCAATATTCTCTTGGGAAGGATCACAATCACTTGGTTGATGAACCGACAAGTGAGAATCATCCATCTGAAACAAATCTTCTTTGGCTTTGATCTCTTCATGCTTAAGCCTAGAAGATTGCCTTCTTGCCGAAAGCCTGAAAAAACATAATTTTTGAAAGGCAAACACTAGGATGAAAGATACATTACACCTTAATATAAGAGCTGTACCTTTTTCTTTCGGTGTTAGCGCGGGACTGCCCCTGTTTAGATTGTTTTGAACCTACATTGGGAGGGAAAAGATGCAAAAACTTAGGGAGAAAAACTATAAAGAAGCCACTCAAGATCAACTTTAATGCCGAGATGAAGTGTAAATTTGAGACCTAACTAAACACTCACTCTTTGACTGTCTTCTCCTCTTGGTATTTTCAAACAAGCTTTCTTCTTTATCTTCATCTTCCTTAAAGTTATCCACTGTGTCCTCCATTTTAATAAGTTGCCCCTGAAGGTGATTCAGAGAGGTAAAAAGCATTACCCACATTTCATTACAATATTATCTAAAAAGGAAATTCATGAATTAAATTCATACCTCGGGAATTAAATTTTGGAGGTTATCTGATTCTGGATTCTGCTTATTATGCTGCCAAAGATACAATTAGTGACAAGTATAGCAATACAATAATAAAAATTAATGGGACAACAGTATACCTGACCAACCTCAGCTTCTAATTTCATGGCTATAAGCAATCCATTTTTGCATCCAAGCTCGTGTTCTAATGCTCTTAACTGACACCAATCAAATATCACAAATATTACATCAATGCAAATTAGATTCCAGGATCTGATTTTTTATGGTGATACGAGGCACCCGTCCTTACCTTGTCTCGATATGAATTAAGTTCCTGCAGAAAGAAAGAAAACGTCACATATACTCTGCAAATCATATTGGGTTAATAAGTATTTTGATTAACTTTAACACGGGAAAATGAAAACAAACTGCAAGCTTCTGTGTGTTTGATTGTGCAAGTTGATGGTTCTGTTGCTGCATTCTCTGCAGATTAGCCCTCAGTCTCTGTATCTCATTTCCAGTCATATCAATAAGTTTACTAATCGATAACAGTTATGGAAAACTTCATGAATAGAAGAACTGAAACCTACAAGTAAGAGGAACCCAATGTATTTATCTACATTTAGCCCCAAATATAAACACGAGAGAGAACATGCCAGCGATTAATTAAAATAGAATATTAGGATACACTCTTTCCAATAGTGCATTCATCAAAGCCTTATTTTCCTGCACACAAAAACTACAGATAAATTATCCAGAGAGGACACGCCCAAATTTCATGAAGTGTGCATATCACATGTTTACGACTTCAAAAGTGGAAAGATGCTTACCCGCTCAAGCTTTTCAATAATCTCTTTCATCTCCGTAGGGATATCTTTAACCTTCAGGTTTTCTTTAGATGGCCTTATATGTTGTGGCAATTTACTAATATCTGCAGCCCTTCTCTTTATTGCATTGCCGAAAACAGTTTTTGCAGCTCCTGCTATCTTGTGTTCTCCTTCAATATAAAAAAGGAACTGTGTGAATCATACCACAAGAAGAAGAAGAAGAACCCCCAAACACTTCTATATCTTCAATTTTTTAAACTGCCACATTAAAGCAGCTGACATCACACATTCAAGTCTTCAACTACATTCGGTTTAAGAATTCAACAATTTCATAGTTCAACCATAATTAAGAAGGCCTTCGGAAACAGCCAACAAATTATAACGCTTGAACATTAATGCCACAAAGCAAAAATACGTAGTGATCTTAAATTCAGAAAAAACTCCATAAAACTGCAAATTCCTCAACTCTCGACTCAAAATCACCAACTCTCACATAAAATTAGTTCATTTGAAGAGAGAAAAAAAGGCTTGTGAGATGCAGTTGTGCATAAACCCTAAACTGAAATGGCTCAATCACACAATCAAAATCACATGCCAACAACAAACTTGACTGCACAAAGCCGAAACGAAGTACAAAATCGATAAAAATTATGCTGAAATTGGATGACTGGGGATGGAATTTAAGAGACGGATTACCTCCCGCATGATCGGTCTTCTCCGAGTTCGCCAAACAATCCATTTCTCACATCGATGTATAATCCTAAATCTCAGTCTCTGTGAAAATGCAGACACGACTTACGGCGTTTGGTTGCAGGAACGGAGCGGAGATGCGCCGGAACTGGGAAGGTGGAGCGCCGCTTGCCGGAACCAAGTTACTGCAAATTTGAATTTCTTGGCGATATACTTGGTTTATTTCACCCATTAAAAAAATTGAAAATAAAATAGGCAAGACTCAAGAGTTGGCACACCATGTGTGGTGCTGTGTCCTAATAATAGTCTTTCAAAAATATTTTACATTAATAAATTTGAGAGTGAATTCTCGTCATTCTAATTAGATACTCCGTATTTTTTTTCAAATTAGTAATCAATAAAAAATAAAATGTGATTCTTTATAATTTAGATTTATTCCTTAAATAATTTTATGTCAAAAATATTTATTAAATGCCAGTCAAATAAAAGGTATTATGTGTTTTCTATCCTTTAGACTTAAAGTATGTTCTCGAAAATCGAAATGCTCCTTTATAATTAAGTAATTTTTCAAACTGCATCTGGTACTTTTAGAGGCCCTATTCTAAGTGGGAAGAAAGACCAAAGTAGGACTAAAATATTGAATATATACCAAAATAGGACTTTCATGTTTTTATTTTCGAAATAGGACTTACATTACCAAAAAAACATAATAATGTGCACATGTACACTGTCACATTACAATAGTGCAAAATCCTATTTCGGGAAAAAAAATATAAAAGTCCTATTTTGATACTTTTCTCTATGTTTTAGCCCTATTTAGGGTAATTTTTATTATTAGTATAGTTGTCTTCCAGCACAAATGTCGGGAATCAAACTCGGATCTACCCCTTAGCATTACTTGTCTTTGGCAACTGCACAACACTTACCGGCTCAGGAATTTATTTCTCTAATTCATCAATGAAAGGAGTACACCCACAAACAAATTCATTGATAGGAAATACTCTATAGTATCTGTTAATAAAAAATAATCTAGATTATCTCTTAATAAAAAATAAAAATTTTCTCCATATAGAACTAAAATATATTGTGTTCCCTGAAGAGAACCAAATATGTTTTATTCTTTTTATGGCACATAATTTCATATGATCTGTCATATATGCTCTCATTAGTAGCAAATGTTAGATAATGACTACTTATACAAATGACTGATCTACGAATTTAGTCATTAGCAATAAGTATTGGATAAAGACTGATTATTTCAATGATTATTTAAATTGTTCCTAATAATGTCTTATTCTACTTAAATTATTTAATAAACATTTTTTTCTCAAAGGTGGGACATTGTAGAACTTTCCATTGATTAACGTTAGAGTAGATATGACTTGTCCAATTTTGAGAAAAGCAATACTCCATAAGTTTAAATCTTATTTGTGTAAATTACCCAATAAAAAATGCCAAACTCATGGTTTGTTTGGACGATGGAAGTAAATGGAAAGAAGGAAAATGAAAAGAAAGAAAATAAGAGAAAATGAAAACAAAATTACTAGCATTTGAATAGATAAAAAAATAAAAGAAAAGGTAGGGAAAGAGAAAAAAACACAAAAAAGAAATTGGATGAACCTCCATTATTTGTTCCTTCATCTCCCTCACATGTTTTCATTTTATTCTCAATTGTGAAGAGAAAATTTTGGGTGTGGGTGCCACTTTTTTTCCCTTGTATCTTCATTTTTCTTTAGCCTAATAAAAAAAAGAGTAAATTCCATAAAAGGTCCTCAGCTATAGGTTATTTTACATATTTAGTCATTACATATCAAATATTACTAATTTAGTCCCCAATTATTATATTTATTTTCACGAGTGATCCTTTATTAACATTTCTGTTAGGAACGTGGATAAAATTGTAAATTCACACTTCTTTCTATCTTCAATTTAGCTTCCTCTCTCCCCTCGCACTCCTTTCCCAAACTCGTCGCTGAGTTTGAAGCTCTAAACTCAAAACCGAAATCATCACTCTTCTCTCAATTGTTTGTCGAACTGATAGAACCCAAATTCGAAACCGGTAACCTTTATGGATGAGTTTTAATATTTATTTTCTTTGCAATTTCTTGAACTAACCGATAAAACTCATCCATGAAGCTTCTTGATTTTGATTTTAGGTTTCACTAGGAGGACTAATAATTGAGAGAAGAGTGATCATTTCAGTTTTGAGTTTAGAGCTTCAAACTCAGTGACGAGTTTGGGAAAGAGTACATAAGGAGGGAAAAAGCTTAATTGAGGAGAGAGAGAAGTATGAATATACAATTTTATCAATGTTTTTAACAAAAACGTTAAAAACATGATATATGTGTGTGTGTGTGTGTGTGGAGTAAATTGTTAATATTTAATATGTAGGGAGTTAAATATGTAAGACAACATATAACTGAGAACCTTTTATAGAATTTAATCTAAAAAATGTATATTCTGTTCATCACTCTAAAAAATGTATATTCTGTTCATCACTTTTCTTTTCTTCTCTATTTCCACCCATCCAAACATGGGCATCAGTCAACACTCTTATAATTGATACCGGCGGCGGAAAGAAAGAGAAAATGATTGTTTAATTAGCTAATGGCCATTTGTGCCCTCCATAATTTGATTTTTTGAATACACGTCAATGTATGAATTTAATATACATTCATTTTGATATTTGAGATTTTATAATAACTCTATTTAATGAGGCTTGTCGTTTGGTTGATTTGTCAATTTTTCTAGTTTTCTTTTGTTTTGTTTTTTGGTTGCTGATATTTTAGCCTTTTAGGTTTATTAACACTTGGATCAAGTATCCCTCGAAAAAATAATTTGGACCAAGTGGCATCGAGAACTTATACTCATTGTCTTTGTCCACTTACCTTTTGGCACACCATCCAATGCACTTCTTTAATCCATTTTATTTTATAATTTGTATATTATAAAATTATAAAAATTATATATTAATAATCTATATGTTAAGACGAATCAAACAAGATCACACATGACTATTTTTAGACTTACACATTGAGAGAATTTGATGAGTCAAAGTGCTTAGATGAACAGTTCCAAAAGTCAAAACTGGACAAAAACAATGGGACGGAGGTAGTAATTGATAAGCGAAATTTATACTAAGTAGTACTAAAACATATACAAGTATCATTTTCCAATGTAGTGCATAAACTTTTTTATTCTTAAATATTACTTGAATAATGACTAGCGGCGAAAACAATATACAGTGATGGTGGATATTTAGTTTGAACAATGTCCAGTGGCGCTGGACATTTACTTGAAAAATGACTAATGGACATTGAACAATAGTACTGTATTGGAAAAGCCACTATATTTTAGTACTATTTAAATAAATTCCCCTTTAATTAATCGTAAATAGAGATGTTAAAATGTCAGTGGGTCGAAATCAACGGGTAGAATGTCGGATAGAATTAGCCACTTGGATATAAAGTTGGGGTCGACTATCCTAACCTAAAAGCTAAAGCTGATAAGTAGGGTTTTACCCTTCTATGTATACTAGTAGTATTCATCTTTATTTTTTGATGTGAGAATTCCAACACCTCCCCTCAAATGCTAACTAGTCTAACCTAGTTATCACTTGGACAAACGGGTCTAGTATCTCAATCTCTTATAGCTAGCCCAAACAACAGGCAGTGACATCTCAATCTCTTTTTAGCCAACTCAACCCAAATCATGGACGGGTAGGTCATTTTTATTGCTAAACCCACGTTCAACAACTAGTTCCGATATCATTTATAAAATAATAAAGAAAAAATAATTATGTATTGAATTGTGTTGAAGATTACAAATGTCTAGTCCTCTTTATATATGAAGAGAGTAAAGCAAATAAGTAAACATTTATTTCTAGCATAATTTTATTTTTACTAAAACAAGAACTAAGCTCATGTGGTGAGAAAAATAGATTAGGGAATAGGGAGAGAAAAAGAATTAAATTATAATTTTGCACATATTTTAATATCTCATCATCCATTTAGAAATGGACAAAGTGCCTTTTTGTTTTATCACATTTCTTTCTTCTCACTTTTTCTCATCATCCAAACAATTATTATTCTACTTTCATTTTCTTCTCATTTTCTCGCCATTTTCTTTCCCATCATTTAATTTCATGTTATTTTGTTTCCTCTCATTTTCTCATACCATCCAAACAAAGGGTTAGATATAAATGAATACTCCAGGTAACATAACTAAGGATTAATGTTAATGAGAAAAACATATTGAGAATACACCACACCAGTAACCTAGTTAGATTCCACGAGGAAATACATAAGATCTAACATCTAAGGTGGGCCTAAGTACCTACAAATAAACCCAATGAGCATTTACTTATTAATGTGATAAATTTTTTAAATTTTAAAAATAAATAAATCTAATTATTAAAATAATAATGATAATAATAACATTAATAATAATAATTAATAATTAAAATTATAATTACTAATAACAAAAATTATTATTATATAATTATTAATAATTATTAACAATAATTAATAATAAACTATTATTATTACTCTAATTATTTGAATTTGAATTAAATCCATTCAGATCAGATCAGATTCGTTTAGATGAGATCAACCTTAAAAATTCAATTCAGAACAGATCCATCAAAGAGAATGCAACCTTAGGATGACTAATGATATAGGTCATCTTTCATGACAACTTTTTCAATTAACATTAAGATTCTGGATTAATTTTTAACAATGCAAATTAGTTCAAAAACCACTAAACTTATATAAACACAAGAGTTTGATAACATCTTTAAAACATTGAGGTCTTAAACATGTTAGAAATAACCTTATAGAACTCTTGGCACACCCATACAAAGAAAACTTTAGTGAGTATATCAACAATTTGATCTTCTGAACGAACATGTCCTACCACTAACGTGTCATCTCAAAATCGTTCAAGACATAGATGTAGAACCCCGATCCGCGTGACCCGAATACAAGTACCGGCGGATCAGGTTGTCACTAAATTGACATCCAAACATAACAATTTTCAAAACAATTTAAAACATTCAATTCAAAAACAATCTTTATAAATCCATCAAAGTTAACAAAACGGTGCGGAAGCTTAAAGTACTTAATTCAATTACAAGATTGGGTTCTTTGCCCGAAAACATAAGAAATTCAAATATAATATTAAATTAAATAAACTCTTTTAGCCATCATCCACCCATCTCCTCATCCTCGCTACCCTCTAGGATTGTTTCCTTATTCATTATTCCTGTTACTTACGTGTAACAAAGAGGAAAA